CTTGGCCGCCCCCGATGTCCCGTTTTCCCCAGGCCCCGTCCTTCAAGAGCCAGTTCTTCGGAGGCGAATATTCAGATTCGGCCCTGGTAGATCCGTGGGCGAGAACGGGCCTCATCCAGCATCCCGCTGCATCCGGCGCCATTCGGCCCACTCCCACGGCGAATCTGGCCTCATCTGGTTTCCTGGTTCCTTCATCGGTTTTGAATCGCCTTTTCATCGTTCTTATTCGCGAAGACGTCGCAGGAGATGCCTGCAAGAGCCTAATTCTGAGGCGCCCAGAGTTTGGGATGAGAATCGTTCGCGCGGAAGGCCCAACCAGCAATGGGCATCCTGCGTCCACGCACTTTTGCCTTGACAACGGTGGAAGAGGTTGAGCGCGCCGCATGGGAAACTCGGCGGACCTTGTTTTTTTTCGCCACGCTACCATTGCACGTCAGCACGGTACCTTTTCTGCCGATGCGCCGTCGAGGCGCCTTGCTCTTGCATGCATCAAGGCAGGAAAAACCACCCGGACCCGACAATTGACGTTCACTGAACGGCCATGGGCTTTTCTTACACGGCCCCGCCCCGCTCGATTCCTTCCCTGGGCGCGTTTACTCAATGGCTTCGCTTGTCGGGGTGATCATTATGGGGGTGGATTCTCTGCCCTCCTAACGCATGCCTGCATGACTGCGTCCTCCCTCCGGGCCGCGCGGCCCCTCCGCACCCGTGGCAGCCGCGTCCCCGGAAGGTCGAGAAGTTGCGCCAGCGCCTCGAGGCTGGAGAGGCGCTCCCCGCCAGGGTCTCGGCGGGAGGTTTTCCAGTGTGGCGGCGCCTCCGGCGCCCCTCCTCCTCCACTTCCTCCTCCCTCCTCCTCCTCCTCCTCCTCCTCCTCCCCCTCCTCCTCCTCTCCTTCTCCCTCTCCTCCTCCTCCTCCTCCTACTCCTCCTCCATTTCATCTCTTTATAGATAACTTCTCCCTGTCGCACCCCGAGACCAGTTTTGAGGGCGGGCCGGGCGTTTCGCCTGAGACTTCCTTGTCATTTATTATTCTGAAGCTTAAGAAGTGGCAACCGTTTCATACATGGAGGGCGGGCCGCTTTCAAAGTGTGGCGCTCGCCGATACGCCGCGAACATTTGTTTGAACATGTGGGAGAGTTTCAGGGATTGAGGGCGGGGGGTTTTCGAAATGTGGCTGTCGCCTCGGCGCCGCGCACATTCGTTTGCAAAATTTACAAGAGGTTCTCGGATTGAGGGCGGGCCGTTTTCAAAGTGTGGTGCTCGCCGATACGCCGCGAACATGTGTTTGAACATGTACGAGAGTTTCACGGATTGAGGGCGGGTGGTTTTCGAAACGTGGCTCTCGCCGTAGAGCCGCGCACGTTCGTTTGCAACATTTACAAGAGGTTCTCGGATTGAGGGCGGGCCGTTTTCAAAGTGTGGCGCTCGCCGACACGCCGCGATTATTGGTTTCAAACATGTGCGAGAGCTTCACGGATTGAGGGCGGTCGTTTTCGATGTACGGCTCTCGCCGTAGCGCCGCGCACGTTCGTTTGCAAACTTTGTAAGAGTTTTCGACATGTGGTTCTGGCCTTAGCGTTACGCACATTTTTTGCACATTTGCAAGAGTTCCACAGATTCTCATGATCAGCGTATCAGAAATGGCGCTCTGGAGCGATTCATGATTATGCGGGCGCAACAGATATGTTGATTCGCGGTGATGAAATCATCAAAAGTGGAGTTATGGCACGAATCCAGATCGTCAAGGCGCAGCAGTCAGGTTGATACGTGGCGTTGAAATCCCGAGAGCAATGGCTGGGCGCGCTTCAGGATCTTCAAATGGTTCCCAACGAGGCAGTTCCCTCAATGAAAATGAGCCGTTGTAGGGGCCCACGAAGAGGGAGCTCCGAGGGAGTGTTCATTCCAACATCGTTGATGACTCTTGGGTTTACAGTGGTCCTCCTCCTCCTCCTCCTCCTCCTCCTCCTCCTCCCCGTTCGCGTCCACCACCTCCTCATCCTGCTCCTCCTCCTCCTCCGTCTGCTCCTCCTCCCTCCTCCTCCTCCTTTTCCTCCTCCTCCTCCTCCCCCTTTTCCTCCTCCTCCCCCTCCCCCCCGCCGTCCTCCACCGCCACTCGTTCCTCTTATTGATAATGCCTCCCTGTCGCACCCCGAGGCAAGTTTTCACGGCGGGGCGGGCGTTTCGCCTGAGTTTTCCTGAATGGCCCTGAAGCTGAAACGTTGACAACAGTTTCACTGATGGAGGGCGGGTCTTTTTCAAATTGTGGCTCTCGTTTTCGCGCCGCGCACATACGTTCTAACAATTAAGAAGCGTTTCGCTGATTGAGGGCAGGTGGCTTTCAAAATGTGGCTCCCGCCACAGCGCCGCGTACATTCGTTTTAAACATGTGCAAGAGGTTCACGGATTGAGGGCGGGTGGTTTTCGACATGTGGTTCTCGCCTTAGCGCCGCGCACATTCGTTTGCAAATTGTTCAAGAGGTTCACTGATTGGGGGCGGTTGGCTTTCAACATGTCGTTCTCGCCTTAGCGCCACACGCATTCTTTGTTGTTGCCAAAAACAAATGTAAAACACAAAAAAAAAACAGATGCAAGAGCTTCACGGATTGAGGGCGGGTCTTTTTCAAAATGTTGTTCTCGCTTCAGCGCCGCGCGCATCCGTTTGCAATATTTCCAAGAGCTTCACGGATTGAGGGCGGGCGGCTTTCAAAATATGGTTCTCGCCTTAGCGCCGCACGCATTCGTGTCGTTTACATTTGCAAGAGGTTCACGGATTGAGGGTGGGTATTTTTCGACATGTTGTTCTCGCTTGAGCGCCGCGCACATTCGTTTTTTTGGTAATATATATAACAAAAAAACAAAAAAGAGCTTCACGGAGTGAGGGCGGGTGGTTTTCGAAACGTGGCTCTTGCCTTAGCGCCGCACGCATTCGTTTGCAAGACTTGTAAGGTTTCCACGGGTTGAGGGTAGCTCGTTGCCAACATGTGGTAATCGCCGTAGCGTTGCGCACATATTGCTCAAAAGGTGTAAAAGTTTCACGTAACCATAAATTGTGTTGTGGAAGGACGTTCCAGAAATGGTGTTGTTGGAAGGGTTCACGATATTAGGGGCGCACCTGTTATTATGACTCGCGGAGCTGAGGTCCCAGGAATGGCGTTCTGGCACGATTCTCGATCGTCAAGACTCAACAGTCAGCTTCACGTGTGGCGCTGGTATGCCGGGAATACAGTCAACCCGCAGAGTAAGGATGAGCCATCTGTCCTAGGTTACCCTTGCATCCTTGCCCTTTGGTCTAACCCTGGGAACTTCCGCTGGCCAGCCCCTTGGGGTACTCTTGGGGCGGGCCGGCGTTCCGTTCGAAACGCGTCAACTTGGTTTTCCAAGGCCCTTGCATCGTTATCGTGCATCCTTATTTTGCGGGTTGACTGTCATGTTTTGGCGTGCTTCCGGATCTTCAAACGGTTGTCCTCCAACGAGGTAGGTCCTTCTGCGGAAATGAACCGCTGCAGGGGCTTATGAAGAGGGAGCTTGGGGGGAGGGGTAATTCCAACATCATTGGTGACTCTTGGGTTTACACTGGTCCTCCTCCTCCCCCTCCTCCTTTTCCCCCTCCTCCTCTTCAGTTTTCCTCACAATCTTCCCTCCTCCTCCTCCTCCTCCCCCTCATCCTCCTCCTCCTCATCCTCCTCATTTTGTTCCTCCTCCTATTCCTCCCCCTCCCCGTCCCCCACGTCCTCCTCCTCCCCCTCCTCCTCGTGCCCCTCCTCCTTCCGCAGAAGCCACGGCTCGCTTGCGAAGGTTGCTCGCAGCAGCCTCGGCTTGCTGGCGGCTGGAGGCGCGCGGGGCCCAGCCCGCCGCCGCCCACCGAAGTGAGGGAGGCATGGGCCAGGCGCTGGCGCTGCAGAGAGCGCGGATGCACAATTCACGTGCGCAGTTGGCTCTCACGCAAGCGTTGTGGAGCGTCGCGCGGCGACGAAGTGGACACCAACCGAGGCGAACTCGTACCGCGCGCCGCCCGTGCGACCGCCCCCTCCCAGGGCGTCCTTGTGCTTCTTCCGATGGCCCTTGTCCTGGTGGGGGTGCTGGCGGAGGTCACGCCCCGCAGCTGGGTGGGCCCTCGGCCCGCGAGTTGCGCACCATGGTCGCCGTGGTCAAGAAGCGCGGTGGCTCCGCAAACGCGTCCCTCTACGAGCATGCGCCGTCGGCGTTCGTGCCCGAGTTCGCCGCGGTGGTGCCACCCCAGCAGGGCCCATCCCAGAGCTTGCCAGTTGGAAAGGTCGGCGGCCTAGGAAATCGCACGCCCGGAAAAGGCCGCGCGAGCTCTCGCTGAGCAGCGCTAGTCTGTTGCTGCTGCCAAGAAGGACTTGGATGCGGCGGGCCTCGAGTACAAGAGCGCGGCGCAGGAGCTGGCGGGCGAGGTCGTCGAGATCAGCCCCCAGCTTCGCGCGCGCCGAGGACCTGGCAGCCGGCGAGGTGGAGGCCAGCTTTTTATTTATATATTCATTTATATATATATACACATACATATATATATATATATATATATATATATATATATATATACATACATACACATATATAGACATACACACATAAAACGCCAGCAGCGCTTTCAATCTGTACGAGCTCCCCGCGGAGGACGCGCGGCATTTTGCCCGGTGCAAGGAGAAATTCGACGGCAAGGCTTGGAGTTGGCGCCGGTGCTCGCCAAGAGATCGCACTCGCCGCCTCTCGATCACGTTCGCCGCCCCTCTTGCATGCGCTTCGAGGAAAAGAAGTGGTGACCTTGCGGAAGCGGATTGTGAAGGACGTGCTGGTTTGGAGGCCTCCTCCGAAGCCAGAGCCCGATGGAACAAAAAGACGCCCGCGCCGCGGCCTCGCCGAGCGGCCCCGCCGCGGCCCGCGCGCCCCCCTTCCCGCTCTCAACCGACTCCAAGCTCGAGCGCAAGGCCGCTGATGTTTGGGCGTTGGCCGGAAAGGTGTCGGGCGAGCACGTTGCGTCAGGCCCCCCCCCGCGGCTGCCCCATCGACGAGGGGTGGCAGGGCCGATGGGGCCCAGCATCCAGAGCTTTCACCTGCGCAGCATCTGATTCCCTCGACCGTCTCTCGCCATGGCTCCATCAGATGCGCCGCGCCTCTAGCGAGTGCGTTTTGGGAACTTCTGCGCCGGGCAAAGTTCGATGCCGCGCCCCCCGGGGCGCTCCCGAGCGTCGCGCGTCTCTTGGCCCGTCGGCTTCCCCCGCCCCCCCCACTTCGCCGGGGCCGGCCTGGACGGGGCCGACGCTTGCATGTCTTTGGCCCGCTGCGTGTCCCGGCCGGGCCCAGCTGCCGCCCGAGATCTGCGCGCGCGATTGCGGGCGCCTCGCATCGTCGAGAACTGGGTTCATGAGGCCCACGCGCGGGCGCCCAGGCGCGGGCGGGGCGCCTCCAGTGGCGCGGCGGCGTTGTGTCGGAGTTTCTGAGGTTTGTCTGCGCCGCCGACCGCTTTTCTCGAAGCCCCCCGCGTGGCCTTGGCTGCCGGGGCGATTATTCCCGGCAGGGAATTCATCTTGGCGGTGAGTTGGCACCTGCGTGACTGCCAGGGCCCGTCGGACCGCGACGTGTTCACGACGCGGTGAGATCGGGGGTCTGGCCTCGAGGTCGGCAAGGTCATGGAGTAGAGGGGGCCATCTCAACATGGGGCCTGATATGCTTGGCTGAGTTTGCGCGAAGATCTCGCTGTGCAAGCGGTCGCTGCAGACCTCGTCGCTCGCGCGCCCGCGTCTGTCTGGCGCCGGGGGACTTGCAATTGTTCCATCGTCTCCAGCGACTTGCCCACGGCAGCTCGGGACATTAGAATTATCGCCGCGGCCCCCGACGCCGCCCCGCTCCCTCGCGCCGCTTCGGTTCCATCCGCGCCTCTGCCGCCTTGGGGCCATCTAGGCCTCGCTTGCCTCGGCGCCCATCGGGCCTCTCCCAGAGGCTCCTGACTGGCCTCTTTGGCTGAGCTCGCGGGGGGGGGCGGCTGCGCGCCCCGGGGCGGGGGGCCCACGGGCCCTCGCCGAGGTTCGTCTAATTCGCGCCGTGCTTGGGCCGACAGGGCCGAGCGCGAGCTTGCCAGGAATCTGCAGACGGAGTTGCCCGCGCGCGCTTCCGGCGGGGGCCGCAGGTCCTGTGGGCGGACTTCTCCGGGGAGACAGCTGCCCGCGCAAGCGCCCTAGCCCGCGCGGCGCGCGCTTGCGCGAGCGCGCATTCAGGGCCCGGTCAACGTCGCAATGGCCAGTTCAGTGTGCGTCTGCGGCGGCGGACGGCGGGTTCGACGTGTCGAGGGCCTTCCTTCTCCGGAAGTCGATTCTTCGAGGGCGGGGGTCGCCCGACCCCCGCTCTCCAGCCGCTGACTTGGCGTCCTGGTTTCGCGCGATCTTCGGGCCCAGTCGTCTTCTCAGTGAGCGGCTGCAGCGGGGTGAGCGCGGGCCCCCCCTGTCATTTCGGCGCAGGGTGCCGCGCGCTCTGTTTTCCTTTCTTGCTGGGCCAAGCGGGCGCTTCCCTCGCCGAGCTGGCCGCCGCGCAGGACTTGGGGCGCGCGGGGGCCCGTCTGGGCGGGGCGGGGACTTGGCGGGCGTAGCGCGTTTCCCCATTGGTTTGGACAGGGGGGGCGCAATGTCCGCCGCTGGACAGAGCGCGCGGAACCATGGCAGCCGTCCACGACCCTGCCTGCTGAAGGGCATGCATCGCCGACCCGCTCGCGCTGCTTCAGAAGGAACGCGGAAGTTTTCATAGGTTTGGGCTTTCCGACGCCCCCGCGGGGGGCCTTTCTGACCCGGTGGACTTCATTCCCCGCGGGGCCTCACCGCAGGACCTCTGCCGCTGCCTGCAGGTTCGCCAGTGTGTCCTGCGGTGCCAGGTCTGCTGCGTCGGTGGATATGGTTCGCGCGAAGCATTCTAGTCTTTCGTCCGATGGGGCTCTGGACTCTGTCGCCGCCCCCCTCGCGACCGGCGAGGTCGCGCCCCCGTTGCCCTGGCAGATTTGGCTCGCGATTCTCGCGGTGATCCCGGAGACCCTCGGAGCCTCAAGGCCGACTTGGGGCTTTCGCGACCCGCGCCGATTTCGCGAGAAAATGCGGCGGTCGGTAGCGTTGGAACGGGAAGGGGCGGGGGCCCTCCAGTCTCTCTTCGCGGGCCGCGGCGCCCAGAGTGCGTCCGACGTCGCCTGGCGCCGCGCCCTGGCTTGTGAGCGGGCGCGCGCGAGCAGTCTCGCGACGGCCGCCGCCCCTCGGGACACGCGTGAGTTCTACGTGCTGTCGGGTCAGATTCGCCCCGGCAGAGATGCATTGACCGCGGCTGTCCGGCTGTCATCGCGCGCCTGCGCGTTGGCGCGTGTAGGCCTGCCTTGTATTTCAACGTCGCTGACTTTCTGGCGGCGCCTGTCGCGGGGGCGCATCGCGGGGCCACTGCTTATGCGTGGGCTCGACGTTCGTGCGCGCATTTCACGTGGGCGCTCTCTCCATCACCACCCACCAAACCACCCCAACCCAACCCGAAGCCCTCAATTTGCCTTCCATTTCCAGTGGGGGGGGGTCCGGGAACATTGAAAAAACACATGGTATCCGTACCCCCCCCAACCCGAAATTCGGGTCAAATTCGGGTCTTCGGGTTGGGTTGGGGTGGTCTGGTAGGTAGTCACTCCAGGGCGCGCCTGAGCCCGGCGGCCCAGCCGGCCGATCGCGCGGGCCCGGCGGCCCGTGGCGCCCAGGTCTCCTGAGGGCGTCGAGGCGGCGGCTCGGGCAGTCCACCGGGCGGTCGCGGAGAAGTCGGGGCCCGGAGGTGCCCCGACGAGGCCGGTCCCGTCGCGGCGGCCTATGGGGGCTGCGTCTCCGCGAGCTGGCGGACAAGGACTTCGCGGGCTCGGCGATGAACTATCACCACCCACCAAACCACCCCAACCCAACCCGAAGGCCTCGATTTGCCCTCCATTTCCAGTGGGGGGGGGTCGGGGAACATCGAGAAAACACATATGGAACCCGTACCCCCCCCAACCCGAAATTCGGGTCTTCGGGTTGGGTTGGGGTAGTCTGGTAGGTAGTCAGTCGGGGCCCCGAAGTGCCCCGACGAGGCCGGCCCCGTCGCGGCGGCCTATGGGGGCTGCGTCTCCGCGAGCTGGCGGACAAGGACTTCGCGGGCTCGGCGATGAACTAGGGCATCGATGACACCTCAAGGCGGCCTCCTCACGTCCGGGGTAGAGCTGCTAAGAGGGTGGTGAGGGCGCGGCGTGCCCAGGTTCGCGCGCGTCGCGTCGTCCGACGGCTCAGGTTCAGCAGCGCGCCTAATCGCCGTCTTCATACCGGCGGCCCGTTGCCGGGGATTGCGCGCGGAATGGAGGTCCCGGGCAGCGCGAGGCCAGTCTGTCTTGCGCCTCTGTTGTTCTGGGTCAGCCCCGCGACGAGCTCGGCCCGACATCTTCGAGCGCCCCCCGACGGCGGCCGAACGAATGAAGTGCCGGTTGCGGCCCCGTTGGTGCCGCGTGGCTTTCAGGACATCGAATTCGTGCCATGTCGAATCTCATTTTTCTCTGGGATCGCCATGGGATCGATGCGCTGCGCGTTTTCATGGGCCCCAGCCCCATCTATATATATATATATATATATATGTATATACACATATATATATACATATATATATATATATATATATATATATATATATACTGTTCGGCGCCATCACCGTGCCTCTCGAAGTCTCAGCGGCGCCATAAAGTGGGAAGGATTGTTGAGAAAGTGTTTCGGTACTGTCGAGGCGTAGGCCAAGTCCAGCAAGTTCACGCTGCTGGAGCGCGGCCCCAGTCGCAGCGTTGCGCACAACGGCTGCTGGACCGGGGTCGAGCGGCGGGGGGGTGGCCCGCCAGGGGTCGGCTGGCGGCGTCGAGCGCGAGGGGGGTGGTCCGCCAGGGGTCGCCCAGGGGTGCGGTCGAGCGGCGCGGGGGTCGTCCCCGCCCAGGGGCGGCAGGCGGGCAGCGGCGAGCGCGAGGGCCCGAGGGCGGGGTCTCCCCCGTGGTGCGGGTCGCGTGCTTGGGGCGGCCGTGTGGCTCGGGGTGCCGCGTGCGACAGCACGGCATCGCGGTGCCAGAATTCGAGAATTGGCCGTCTGAACTCTAGAAAAAAGCCCTTGGAGTCAGAAGTTTGTTGAATTCAAGAACTGGCTTGTTGAATTCAAGAAAAGGCTTGTCGAACTCCAACAAAGGGGTCCTTGGAATCAGAAGCATGTCTCTTCTTTTATAAAAGTTGGGCAAGCTGTTGCTCTTTAGTTCCCTCCTGCAAATCGTGCCCTGGGAATTCGAGAGAGAGAGAACCCGTCGGTGGCTGCACGTCGATCCCCTGAGGCCCTGGCGCTGCAGGTCTTCACCGGGGGCCTGGTCGCCCGGCCTTGGGCCCCGGGGGCCCTCACAGATCGACCGGGCCCGCAGGAGTGGCGCGGGAAGCTGGCGGGCCCCGGAGCTGCGGGCGTGGTCTCCCTCGGCACTGCAGGCAGTCCCGCAGCGTCGGGGCTCAGGGTTCGCACGTCGAAGCGACGCGAAGATCGGGACAAAATCGGATCGGGATAACTCGAAATCTCTGAGAATCGGCGGGTTTGGAGGACGTATTGGGCGCCGCGGCCGCTCCAGAGCGTTCCGGAACGCCAGAGCGTTCCGGAACGCTCTGAGAGCGCTCCGGAACGCTCGGGAGCGATTTCTCCCGATCTTAGCACTGTTTTACACGTTGCGCCCTCCTGCCCGTCCTGCCTCCTTGCGCGGGCATGTCCCGCTCCAGCGCCTGCGCGGGGTGTCTGGTGGGGACGCGGCTCGCGTGCTGTTGTGGCCCCCATCGCGGGGACCTTCATCCAGCCGCCGAGTCGTCGCCTGAGCGACCTAGTTTCAAGGAGCAGTTCGAGCAGCTCCTGCGTTTGGGTCGCTCGAGCGTGCATCTATATGTTATGCGGATGGGCTGTCCCGTTGGGCGCACTTCTTCCAGGCGCAGAAGCGCAAAGCGAGCAGACACAATCAAGTAGGCCAGAACTGTTTTTGCCACCCTTGGTTCCCGCGCGAAGCGGTGGGGCTCAGGGCGCATCTCCCCAACACTGAAGAAGCCACAAGTGCTGCCCGTTAGATCTTGCTTTTCTGCGGGGCGTCTCCAGCTAAGATGCATCTCCTTGGAGGTTGCAGTCTGAACCCGCGCGGGTACATCCCTGGCCGAAAACTGGCTCAATCCGGCTAGATCCTGATTCCTGGACACACTCTGGCCTGATACGGCCCAGTTGCCCTCATTAGTCGGGCCTACTCGCCTTCAGCCGTTCAAACGGAGACCTCCCAGGAGTTGCCCCGCACAGTGGGGACCCATGCCATGACACCCTGCTCGCCTCCAGGGTCTCTTGGGTTTCGATGGTCTTGCCATGGAAAGCGTGACGTTCCCACACCCACAATGAATGGACGTCATGGGGTCTCAGGGTTGGGTTTCTCGTGTAAGGTTTCTTGTGGTCGGGCCGCTCCTGTAGGTGCAGCAGCGTGACGAGGGAGGGCGAGGCGGGTGCCGCAGCCCAGGCGCTCGACAGGCTCCAGCGGGAGAAGGTGGCCACGGGCGAAGAGACGGGGAGCCCAGCCCGCCACGCGCCGCGGCGCGGCGGGAGGTGCACGCGTCCTGTGGAGACCCGTGCCAAGAAGCACCCTGCCTGCCTCCGGGGCGCCCCTGTTTTTTTTTGTCGTGTGCCAGTGGTTCTGCCATGGAAGCCGTGACGTTCAAGAGTCAGTGGGCGCCCTGGGGTCTCAGGGTCGGGCTTCTCGCGGGAGGTCTCCTTGTGGTCGGGCCCCTGCTGTGTCCCTCCCCCCTTTGGCCACCCTCCGCGCCGAGAATTGTGCACGCGCTCGCCCCCTTCTGCCGCCCCTTCTCCTCCCCTTCGTGCCCCCGCTCGGCACGCGTGGAGAGCCGCGGCGCGAGGCGGAGGAGCGAGTGCCCCCGGGCCTTCCCGGACGGGACCGTGCATGCTGACGCCTTCCTGTCGCCATGTCTCTGCCCGCCTCGTCCGAAGGGGGGGTGCGCAGGGGCGCGGTCTGCGTCGCCTCCCGCAGACCCTGCCGCTGCTCGAGAGCGCGTGGGGGGAGGGGGGGGATCAGGACGCGTGCTTGCTACCTGTTGCCTAGCGTTAGGTCGGGCCTGTCCCTCTACAGGGGGACATTTCAGAAATTGTCAAATCATAGTCTGCGGACCATTTGTCGATCATGTCTGGTCATTTGCGGAGTATGTTTGACTATGTTTAGTATTTTCCTTCCAAAATCCGCCTGGAGGAGGACATGCCCGACCTAACAGTGCGGCTGCCTGCTACTTTGTGCCGAGCGCGCGCTGACACTGATCTGGGATCTGTGGATCTGGCGCGTGGGCGCCAGATCCACGCATCGGGGAAGCCCCCCCCCCCCCCCCCAAGCGCGAGGCCAGTGCCGCCCACTCTGCCGACGCAGGCCGCCGACTCTGCGCGGAGTCGGCGGCGCGCGAAGGGGGGGAGGGAAGCGAGAAGGAGAGGGCCCTCCCCGGACGGCGGCGGGACTTCTCCCGGGCGATCGCGGACACGGAGCAGGGTCGAGGACCGGACCACCGCCAGGGTAGCGTGCACCATGCGCTGGCAAGTGGCGCTTCTGCGAACAAGCACCCAGGGGCCAGGGCCCGCATGCCGTAGTGTAGATGCGCGCGGTTCCCAGGGGGAACGTCTTAGAGTTCATTTTTGTCGCGAAAGAAAATTTTCAGACGATCGCAACGATGGATCAAGGGGGCGTCCGGCTGCGTTTTGGGGAGGGCGCCTCCCCCGATCCATGGATTTGGTGACCGAGCGCCAAATCCAAGGAGCGCCAATCCACGTTTGCGCGCCCCCGACTTCTCAGGAACCCTCGCGCCTTCTGAAAAGTTTTCAGGAGGGAACAAACACAAACACAATTAATCGTCGATGTTCAGCAACATATGCGAAAATATGGGAAGTGGAGGGGAAGACGGAAATCGAAAAACATTGGAAAATGGAGGGACTCCTGTTATTCTTCAGGCATGCGCCACCTCCGCCGACCCTTTAAATGCGCTCGAGCAAGACATGTCTGACGCTGTTGAAAGAGCAGGCGGGGATGTCGGGTGCACAGAAGAAGCACAATTCATCGGGGGAGAGGCTCTGTCGGAAATGCGCGGAGGGGCGAGAGAACGAGGTGCGACGTGACGTGCGCGGCGTGCGGAGGAGCGTTCTCGGACACGAAACATTTGCAGCAGCAACAGGTGGGGAATCATCAAAAGGCGACAGGAGCGGCGCGTGCAAGAGAAGACTACCGAAGTCGGAGAGGTCGTTTGGCGTCTCGGAGCTCTCGTGGGCCGTCTTGGAAGCTTTTTTGGGGGCCTTCTTGGCCCGTGTTTAGGCCCTCTTGACCCCGGAAAATGCCCGTGATGCGCTCGTGCCGGGCCCGGGGGAGGGGGGGGGGGAAGGGGGGCAAATCTCCGGTTTGAGGTCCCTGGGGGGGTTATGGGGGATTTCTGGGGGGGCATTTCGCAGGCTTCGTGGAGGTAGTTTCGAAGTTCACTGATCGCCGTTTTGGGGCCTCTTGGGGCCTCTTTTGGGCCTCTTGGACTCTCTTTGGAGGTCTTTTGGGGGTCTCTGGGCGGCTCGGCGGGTGTCCCAGGGCCAGGTGGGAGCGGAAGGCTCGGATTTTCGGTTCGGGCTCCGCCGCCGGGGCCCCTCTAGGAGTTGGGATTCTTTTGGGCCGATTCGGGCCGTCTTGGCGCCGTTTTGGGCCGTCTTGGGCGCCTTTTGGGACCCTTTTGGGGCGTCACGGGGTGGCCTTGGGGGCCTCTTAGACTGGCTGGAACTCCGTGCAAGCTAAAGAGTCGTCGATGCAAAAAATGTACGCTTCCCCATGGAAAATCAATGATTTGCGCTACTTTGGACCTTCTTGGAACGCCCCTTCGGGGCCTCTTGGAGCGTCTTGGAGGCATCGTGGGCTGTCTTGAGCCCATATTGGGGAATCTTGGAGCCACCGAAGGCCACGTGGAGGTCCTCTTGAGCCGTCGGGGTGCGTCCCGGGGCCATTTCGAGGCCACCGGAGGAATCCCTGCAGGATTTTCGGGAGCGGATGACGCCCCCGGGGGAACCGGGGAATTTGAACAGACCCCCCCCCCACCCTCCAAATCGACCGGACCAGGCTCCAGGGGGAGGGTTTGGGGAGGGGGAGGATCTCACACGCCGATGAACCCCAAGGGGTCGGCGGATTCGTTTTTTTTGTGTGTCCCAGGGCCCCTTCGGTTTGCGTGTTTTCGGGGCGTGGGTTCCAGGAACACGTCTCAGAAGGCCTCGCGGGGACGTCCGAGCCTTGCGAGGAGCCCCGCCCCCCCCTTCTCCCCCCCCCGCCCCTTTTTTTGTGTGCTCGCCACCGATAGGGCGCGGGCCGCCGATGCCGCGCGGAGGCAGGGCCCGTCGCCCGCCCGCGCGTCGGGCAGTCCGTGTCTGTGACGACGTCAGCGGACAAGCGGCAGGTTGCCAAGGGAATTGCCTGATGTTTGTGTAAACGTGCTCAGGACATGTCCTACACATGTGAAACAGACGGCTTCAACATTTTAATAACATGTTCAGAACATGTCCTTAACATGTGAAGCGTGTGGCCTAAACATGCTAAGAACGTGTCTCAAGCATGTCAAACACGCTGAGCTCAACGATGGGAGTGTCAGGGTGTCCACGGTCATGGCATCCGCAAGTCCATGCCCTGCGCCCCCTCGGCGAGGCTCTCCGTGCCGCGCCCGAGTGCGCCGCCGAGCGGCGTGCTCTTCTCCCGCGGCGGACGGCGGGCCTTTCGCGGCGGCCGGGGTTACTTTTGAGTCGGGCCGTTCTTTGTACGGGAGGAGTATTCAAGAGCAGTAAAAAAATGTGGGGTCCAGTTTCTGGCCAGTTTCGGCTATTCGGGTGTATGTCTTGGAACTTTTTGTTTGGAAACATCGTCCAGCATCCGCCTGTAGGAGGACATGCCTGACCTACGGCTATTTCCGGCGCCGACGAGAGTGGGGAATCTATGCGCGCCGGTCGTTGGAACTAGTTCAAGGGCCTTCCTACTTCAATAGTCGACATGCTTTTCCTGTGCTTTGTTATCCTCTGGGAGGGCCTGAACCCAATCTGCTTCATCCGCCTTCTACTTCATGTTTGTATATATTTCTTCCGGCCGACGTGAAGCCCAAATCGACCAAGAAACAAACGACACCACCCCACCCACGGCCCGCCATTTTGCGCTACAGCCCATCGGGGGCCGTAGCGCATACCACGCACAAAATCCCGTCATATCTCTTGGTATACGGGTCATGTGGCCGTATGCGGGGTGGTGTCGCTTGTTTTTCTGATCCACCAAAGGCGGGCATTGCACGCATTCGCCTGGGAGCCTCGCCGAATGCATGGACCATCGAGGCCCCTGGATGCATTGGAAGCCCCTGCCAAGAAACACCCTGCTTGCCTCCAGGGTGCCCTTGGTTTCTTGGGTCTCGATGGTTTTGCGATGGAAAGCGTGACGTCACCACACCAAAAGTCAGTGGACGTCCTGGGGTCTCAGGGTTGGGTTTCTTGTGGAAGGTTTCTTGTGTTTTGGAGCTTCTACTGAGCTCGCCCCTGCCGTCAGGGCTGCAGCAGCACCTCGGTTCGGCCGCCTTGGCCGTCTTGGGGCGCTCTTAGGCCGTCTTGGGGCCCTCTTGGAGGCATCTCGGGCCGTTTTGCGGTGATCTTGGGGGCCTTTTTGGGCCGTCGTGGAGCGTCAGAAAGCCGACACCGGCGAGAATGCCCGACTCCGTCAGAAACCTAAGGGACATCCGTGATTTGGGCTTCTTGGAGTGACCCATCCCCCTGAGCCGCTCGCTCCTTCCGCCCCCTCTTTCGGCGGCTCCCTCTGCTGTTTCCCCTCCCTCCTGCACGGTGGCAAAAAAATCGCTGCAACGGCACCGCCGTTTGGGTAGGCCTCCGCCAGCGCAGTTACCCTGCCTAGCCGCCGACGCAAAAAGTGTCATGGCGCCAAAATCGCAGAGCGGATTTCGATCGAAAAACGATAGGATGGGCCCGGAGTGTTCTGGAGAATTTCGCTCCGGATTTCGAGGTGAACTTCGCGCGGATTTGTTGTGGGCCGGGAAAAAACACCAAAACAGATCCACGCGAAATCCATTTCGTGTCTCACTCGCTGCTCCGGCGTTTTGCACTGGCAGAAATCCACGCGAAAATCCGCTGCAGCACGTCTGCAAGGCCGGGGCAAGGAGCAGTGAGTTGGGCCTCTTGGGGCGGGCACCCTCGGCGCCCGGCCCCGGCGCGTCCGCGACGCCCTGCGGCGCGAGCCGCCGCGGTGTGCATCGCAGGGACGGCTCAAGGAGGGCAGGCCTGCCGAGGAGCGCCGAAGGGGATGGTCATAGGGGCGCGAGGTCGGGGCGGCCAAGCGAGGGGTGATGGCTAGGGGGGGGGGGTGTATCGCGGCGGGGGCCACGATATCTCCCCAGATGTCACGGCGCCTCTTCTTATTTCATGACCCCCAGACACCCCCCCCCCCCCCTGTGCCGCACGCGTGCCGCCGGTCATGATTTCTGCCCCCCTCTTGGAAGCCCCCCTCTCGGAC